AGGGTATATTCTGTGAAACGCTTTGAGATGTCTCAATTACATGATAAGGCGCTATATCAAATGCAAAGATCAGTATTATTGTATTATTCGCAATCAGCAAATCTGTGAAGCTGAGTCACAATTTGCATCTCGCAAATTACCTTATTATAGGACACAACTTACCAAAGAGGTGATGCTTATGACCCATATACGTCATTAGTTTAGATCAGTTAGAATATTGTGTTAGTTTGGGTTACCACACCTATAAACCATGTTAGAGTCATAGAGAGAAGACATTTATTAGCAATCATATCAAAGATAAATATTTTGGGTAAGCAGCAATTCCTGTGTGACTAAATGGGTCACTCTTTCAAAGAGTCAGCAAATGTACAATGACCCTTTTCTGCTTTGAATGTGCTTACGTTAAAGAATCCGTGACACAGAATCTAAAACTTGCAGTCGGGACAACAACGCTTTCATTATCACCTTCAATAATTCATGTTACAGAGGCCTTTTTAGACCTGCCAAAGTACAGTGAAATTAAATGTAACTACAAAGATGGTGTGATTTACAGCATTACATGTTCCCCGAGCTCCCAGGCTGCCTTCATCTCTCCCAATGTGAAACTCTCTCTCTCTCTCTCTCTCTCCCTACCCCCACATCATTCCATCCAGTTGCACCCACAATCTCGGGCAGAAAGCGTCCCTGAGCTGCTCTGCAGACAGTTCAAAATCGTCCTGTTATTAAGCTGAGCAAGACCAGGTCAAACCTGGCATTAATTACTCACTTCGCCTTCTCAGCTGCACCAGGTTTCTCCCTAATGACCTTTAACAAGCCCATAACAAGATAAATTAGTCCCTTTTTCCCCCTTTGCGCTAAATAATGTAATGCTGGTTTCTCTGGGGGATGGGGGGCTGCCTGTGCTTTCTCGTTGCCGAACTGTTCCTGCGTTACGCCCATTATCGCACAGACCCCATCCCTTGAGCACAATCGCTCCCAGAAATATTTTTCAGACTGAATTCAGATATCTCAATAAATCAGCTTTAATAAATGCATGCATTAGCATTCATTCTGTAATCGAACAGATCATTTAGTTCCCGTTTTTTTTTCATTTTGTTTCATTTAGAAAATATTGAACTTTGAACATTTTACGATATTTCCACAAAGACGGAAAACATTCCCACCAGACGAGTTCAGCAGCTTCCCCTCCCCTCCTCGTGTCACCATCTATACTCGGAACCCCTGACATATATATTATTAGCTAATATTGATCTGGAGATGTCATTCTTGTGTTCAGTAATTAAGTAAAACAGATTGTCCAGCAAAACGCTGAGCAAATACACCATCGCCCAGGCCGGTCCAGGACACTCCCTTCAGATTCCGCATGAAGCCGGGATGTATAAATAAATATAATATAAACCTGGTATAATTTTGATATCGGCATCTCATCGTTTTCTGGTTACTTGTTATCATGCCATCATGTCCTCATCAATGTTGTTACATCAGCCACACTGCACATCGGCGAGGATTGCTGCCAGTGAGATGGAATTCGATTACAACTCTCCTTTCTACATCGCATAACATGTCAGTTGTGTTATTAAAACCTATATAATTGCTTATGTTTAACACAGCGCCTCTCACGTCGGGAGAACGTCTCAAAGCGTTTATGGATTTATTGTCAAGTGTAGTGACTGTGCATTCTGTAGGCGAACGTCGTAAAATATATACAACTGTACAAGACAACCTAAGAACATTATAGGTTAATTAATGTCCGAGAGTCAAGTTCTATCAGAGATTATTTTTTTACAACCTCCAACCTGCCGACCAACTAGGCAGATGAGAGAGGGACGGAGCACCTACTCCTGACTTCAAGGATCAGTTTGGTGTAGCGCCCGAAGGCGCTTATCCAATACTCGCCTTTACCGTGGCTCTGCCTGTGCAACATACAATTGTAATTTAATACCTGGGGTACGGTCTACACTAACAATTTCTACTGCAAAGCAGATTGGGTCAACATCAGTGAGAGCGGACACCGCCGCAGACACGGGCTTCTGACGTCTAAAGTAATGCAAATGGCTAATACGCGCTTATTATCCGAGTTGCTTTTGTAAATGTTAACGTTTCAAGCAGAAATTGCTCGATTCCGAATAGTCGACTTTCAGATTAAATTGCAAATTACCTTGGGAACGGCACACCAGGATTACAGGAACTGGAAGTCCCGATGGGAATTGGAATATCAGCCGCAGAGGAATACCAATAAGTTATTGAGAAAGGGGAGAACAAGGGAATGAATCACCGACATACAGACTGGAGCGAAACTCTTTAAAAGCACAATTTGTATTGAAACAAAATCAACAGTGGTTGACAAGATTTCACAAGCAGACGGTATTTTTGCAGTTTGCTGTAAAGTTCGTGCTTTCCTTGCGTGACTTGAGCGGATACACACACAACAGTGTTGCAACATGTCAAACAACGTCGGTTTGAAACAACATAAAGGTCACCTTTTGTGGCATTTTATGTCTGACCCGAATCCTTATCCCTATTATTCCCGCAAAGGGACTTCTTGCATCATAAACGGTGGGAAACTTTATTTTTTAAATCGCACAATTCAAAATCCGTGCAAACACTGTTGTTGTTGTTGTTGTTGTTTGACATTTGATTCGATCTCGTGAGAAAATTATAGATCAATGTGCACGAGTGCTTTAACTCGCAAGTATTGTTTGTTAACAAAATTATTAACAGAGTGTGCAAAATCAATTAATATCCGCATGAGGACGTTTAAACAGCCCGTGGGCAAACCGGACGGGATTTAGAAGTGGTTTAGGTCCGTCCACATTATTTGTGTATCTGTCCTGGAAACGCATCGTTTTGAATCTCCTGTTTAGTGGCCAATACTTTGTTTCCCAATCTTCATTCGGCCACTTTTGCCCCACAGCGCAAAAATAATAATAATCCTTGCATTTGATCCAGTGCCTCATCACGTCTTCGAGACGCCTCAAAGCGCTTCACAGGATATACTGTAAAGTGAATTGACTGTATAGTATACTTTGTGGGGGAGAGCGGAGCCAATTGCGATTCCAAATAGACTTGTTAGACAGCATCCATTTATTTTGATGCTAAAAGCAGACTATGGAAGAACTCGGAGCCTCGTTTGCATAAAACTCCCTCCATGGTATTTTAATTACAACAATTATTTGACATTTGTGCATTGAAAGTGAAAATGCATTAAAATACTACAACGTTGTCAGGTTGTGTGTTTTGAGTTGATAGGCATCCAGGGATCCGGTTACAATAAACAAGTTTAACGAAACTGCCGAACCTTTGATATACATCGATACATCTCGACAACGCGTGATAAGGCGCTATATCAAACACAAGGATTATTATTATTTACCCACCTATTATTATATATACCCACAGAAAATAAACACCAAACTGCAACAAATATAAAGTGTATCCGAGTGTGTTATTTTATTTAATTAGATAGTTAACGGCAGTGGATGTCTGAAATTCATTGCATTTCTGAAATCCCTCTCAGAATTATAATCGCCGGACTAATAGTTTGCAATTCCAAACGATAACTACATTAAACGAGATGTGTTTGCATTGATAGCATTTTGCCATTATTAGTTGTCATAGATAGTATTTTGCCATTTTATTTGCAGGTGTGTTTAAAGTGCATGAATTAGGGCATGTGAAATTGATTATTTACATAGTGGTGGATTTAACACTAAGTGGAGCTATATAAAGTGAAAAAACATTGGGCTCAAACCCATTACAGTATATAATTTGTCGTGTCTGAATTTTGTGTTAGTTTCTTAAAGAACGTTTATTTAATCGCTCCATTGGTTGTAAAATGTAATAACATTCTGTTACCTACTTGCCCACTGGGAGCAATTCAACATTTTTTCAGTGTAGCTGCACTCTGGTATTTTTTGCAGAGAAGAGGAACGTTTCTCGCTGTATAGGTTATCCACAAAGAGTATATAGGGGGATACTCGCTCTCTACGTTTCACAATCGATGCATAAATTGCTCATGGTCACCCGATCTTTTTTTAAAAAAATATTGACTGCCTGTTATTCACGGTTTGAGGGACCCCCTCCAAACGCCAGTGAAAATAAATAAATATTTACTCTACCAGGTGGTCACTCCACTGTTTGAGAGTCGGAGAATGTCACAAGAACCCTCGACATTTTCATTCACACTGACAAGTTTGTAAAAATATATCAGCAGCTCCGGTCTGTCCAACAGACAGAAAGGCAGCAGTCAAATGATTTAAAGTAGCTCCAAAGCTATATAAACAAAACACAAAACACAACAGATGCTGGAAATCTGAAACAAAGACAGGAGTCGCTGGGAACCCCCAGCAGATCAGGTCAGTCAGGTCAGTCAGGGCAGGTCAGGCAGCATCTATGGAGAGAGGAAAGTGAGTCAACGTTTCGGGTCCACGACCCTTCGTCAGACCTATAAACCCAGATCTTTTTGTTCCAAAGCTTTCCAGTTCTCTTACTATCTTAAAATTGCTGATGGGTGTCTACCCACTCGATAAATCAGACGTAATAATATACCCCCCCCACCCCCCCCCCCCCCCCCACACACACACACACACACCATCGACACTTTTAAGAGCCCTCATTTACCAGAAAGACGGCTACAATTCCGCCCTAATTGTATTGATTGGTTAGACGACATGACGTTTTCAGCCAAATGCAAGGAATTTCCACAAAAAAATGTTATTTTAAACTGTCACCCGGTACCGCCCCCATCCCACCCCCCCCACAGCCCCCCCCCCCCCCCCCCCCCCCCCCCCCGTCCTCCCCCAATCACAAGCCGCTGCCACCTCCGCATTCGTAAGAGCTCCTCGGCAACTCTGAGCTCCCAATAACTGGCCAAAAAGTTGGGAAATTTGGTAAAGTTGCAATCACTGCCAATCCCAGGCTCCATTTTATACGAGTAGGGGTTGATGCTAAAGTGGCAGAAGTTTTACCGAGATTTTTTCACGTATTTTTTTCTTTTCTTTTTTTTTAAAAAAAGGATAGTGTTGTGGCCATGCCGTTAGAAACCATGCAGGAAGGTTCGGTCAGTCCCCCTGTCTCCCCCGCCGACAGTATAGCGACCAGCGAAGAAGAGGTGGACAGACAGCAGAAGAGATACGCCAGGAAGAGGAGGTACAATAAAAAATCTAGCGAAGATGGGAGTCCGAATCCTGGGAAAAGAACTAAAAAGTCCAGTCCGAGCTCTCAGTCTTACGAGGAATTGCAAAGTCAGAGAATTCTGGCCAACGTGAGAGAGCGCCAAAGAACTCAGTCCCTGAACGAGGCTTTTACATCGCTCAGAAAAATCATCCCCACCCTCCCCTCAGATAAACTCAGTAAAATCCAGACTCTTAAACTGGCCGCCAGGTACATCGATTTTCTCTACCAGGTCTTACAGAGCGACGAAATGGACAATAAAATGAGCAGTTGCAGTTACGTCGCCCACGAAAGACTCAGTTATGCCTTTTCCGTGTGGAGGATGGAGGGCGCTTGGTCAATGTCTGCGACACACTAGTGTTTGACTTCATTTCCAAACGGGTACGTGTCACTGCCTGCAGTATGTTTTGTTTTTAAGTCGAGCGTCTGCTGCGAGATAAAGCATACATGGTCTCCGAGAGAGATCAGTACAGGGGATCCTACTGAGATTTGCGTGTTTTGTAAGCGAGCGAAAGTTGCAAACGCAATTTCGGTGGTAAACTGAACGGAATTCTACAGATATTCAATATACAGGAATTATCCAATGTTCTTATGCGCATCCAATACATTAACAATGCAATGCAATGTTGGGGTTACCTGCACAGTGTGGACTGTTTCGAATTATTGCCGTTTAATAACTTTTACAAACGCATCAAAATGTTAAAGAAAGAAATATCGAAGTTTTACGTGAATTACAACAGAATCTGGAGTGAAATATAAAACAATGTAACTGCAAAAGATACATCAATAAAGAGTAAATCAGCCGTAGATTAGAGGCTTGTGAGGAATAGATGGTGCGGATCCTGCTTGATCCTAACAGGATAGGACATGGGGGAGGAAGGTGACCCGGAGACATATTGTAATCATTATAACTGCAGCGTCTCGGCTTCTCCGCACTGTTAGCAGATCTCCAGCAGCTGCACACAGATATTGCCTATACATTCGTTTTCAATATTTTGAATATTTTGAACCATTGGATATTCACGATTACAGATGTAAGGTGCAGATGGGTGGGAATGCGGGATAGCTTTCCAGGTGTTATATCAACCTGAAGGCACTGCAAAGTCAAAAACAAATTTAGGTTTTAATAGGTTATAAAAATGCCATTTCATGCAGTTAACTGAATCCTTTTCACATGTTGTTTCAAATCTTTACTGTCGTTGCAATCCAGACAAGGTTGAACATGCGCTTTTAAATCGTTTGTTTCCTCCGAGACTGACTGAAATCACGATTCCGTGTGTTTTTGTTGACAGGCTGTAAAGCTGGTGGGAGTCATGGTGAGCCGGAGGTCCGAGGCGTCCTTTGCCTCCAGGACACGAAGGAATCGGGCACACTCGCTCTGAACTCTCAAACAGCACTTCCAGGCTGAACAGTGAGCAAAACTCCCCCATCCACACACACACTAACATACCACATATTTCTTAAATTACAAGAGAAACATATTCTTGGTACGAGATGTCCGCTGAACCAAGTGACAAGCTCTGACTTTAGGGGAAATCACTCAGTGACTCGAACGGAAGCAGTTTGGGATCTTTCTCTGCTTTTTTAAAAATATTTTATAACAAAATAGTCAATTGCTGAAGTTGTCACCGAGGCTAATTGTGGGAACAAGACAGATCAGGAAAATCCAAAGAAAAGTACGACTCTACCGTAGCAGCGTGACCGTCCACTAAATCGGGATTACGCAAAGCTTCACATTACTATTTTTTCTGCCGCGTGTAAATCCTGCTAGTTTATTTATTAAAGCTTTCTACCACCTCACCAGAGTGCAAGATGGTTGTGTGGTGCTTTTTACTAGTGGTTCATTGGTTCAAAACGGGCACTCTTGAATTGTGTGTGACCATTCCTGTGTTTTGGGTACGTTTTCATTTTGAAAGGCCTCTTCGAAATTATTAAAATAAATATTTAAGAATTTAGACAGTCGGCCCTTTTTTTCTAAAGAACAATACTTATTTTATGGTTCACTAAGTAAACCTACAAATTAAAATAACGTTATTCTATATCATCGAGGCAACCTTTAAACATAAAATATATTAAACTATATTGTCATAATCTCACCTCTTATCTATAGCTGTACAATACTTTATTATATATGACGAGGACAGTCTGTATAGACTTGTGTATTTGTAGGTGTGTAATTGTTTGAGAAAGCTTGGTGTACTAATTGCTAGCAACAAATAGCCGGGGGCTGGGAAATTCCTTGCTTTTTGACGAACACGTTAACAAAAGGCAGATAGCAAATCTATACACTGGAAGTTCCGACTATATAACTGCCTTTCCAATATACCGGATCTATATCAGATCATGAGTTTTCTCCCAACCCAAAAATACTTGTATATTCAGCAATCACTTTAGTGCTAACTGGGATTGGAGAATGGATGGTTATAAATAACAACAGTGCTCGGACGTGCTCGGATGCCCTGCAAATCTAATCGATTCCTCATCTGATATTTACATGACACTAAGGATTAGGTCACAGCGAATGTCGTATTCACAATTCCAGGTCGTGACAATTTGTTTTTAATCCCTTAAAATGTAAAACGATTACCAATCAAGGGCTCTCTCAAAAAAAATCCTAACATTGTATAAGTGCCGGATAGTTCTTCCAGAATACTGGTTTAAAAAGAGTATTCAATCGGTAAATATAAGGGATTGTGGTTTTTCCGCTGTACTTGGCGTTTTCTAAATGATAAAAACGTGTCTAATCATAAGGCTTTAAAATACTCGAAAACATAGAATCATAAACGCTGCACTATTAAAGATGAATGGGGCGCCATGGACTGAACCCCGTTGTCTCGCTGCTAATCAGTCGGTTTCATAACATTTAATTCTTTCAAGATCCGGTATTTTTAAGTGTCACTTTTATTAATATTCTTATTTATTGGATAAAACCGAGCCCTGGGGAACTGTTAGTACCCTTCTGCATAGATTGCTAAGTTTACAAACGTCGCTTGGAGTTTTAACGTCTCAATGTAAAGCGATGTGAAGTTGAAATACATGAATAACCTGCACAAATAGAAATAAGAAAAGAATTAGCTCAAAGCTATTTATACAATACAAAATTACATTTGCATGGCGCCTTTCACATCGGTATGGCGTCCCAAGGTGCTATTTCTGGATCAGTTTAGCAAATATAATTTCAAATATTTCATCCGCGGCTATGACAAGGTTACAGAGGGTAGACAGGAAGATACGTGTCACTGATTAACAAACCTCTACGTACAGACAAGGCGTTGAAAGGTGTGTTTTCACCGAAATGAGTCAACAATTGGCTGCGAGTGAGCAGGAGCCGCCTTCCCGAGGCCCTGATGCGGGTTATTCCTTTGACATTCCTCAGTGTAACTTGAAATAGGAATCATCGGTGAGATCCATTCCCAATGTCAGCGGAACTCCGTTACCCAATATACTCGCGGTGTAGAGGAGTAGGCGCCCCTCTCCCTGTAGTCCGGGTTTTGATCAGCGCGACCTTTAAACTCCCTGATTTGTAATACGATACCCACTCCATCTTTCACCAGAACTGGTGATAATGGGCACTTTCTGGAAATCCTGAAACGTCACCTGATGAAGAGGAAACTAATTTCAGAGGAGTGACTGTCCATGTCCCGTTGAAAGATACTGGTCAGCCATGGGGTGCGGTGGGGGTGCTCTCCCCCCCCCACCCCGTTAATTTACCCTTTTGCAAGCCACAACACTTTGGGAGCTGGAGCTTATTATTTGTTGCTCACGCTGTGTCCTGTTTATGCAGCTTGTTACACTGCCTTCATTAGCGCAGGGGGTTAAAGGTTTACTTCTAATTACACGATCGCACTCTACACGCCTCAGTCTCTTATTCCAATTTCGTCGAATTCACCCTTGACACATTTATTTTCATTCCTGATGTAAGTCCCGGGGGAGAGGGGACTGTCGAGGGGAGTCCCTTTGCTCCCAGAATATCAAGGGGATGGGTATTTTTCAAAGACAAACTAAAAACTTCAGTTGATGATACTAATGGAGCCCCCGCTTGGCTTCCTGTGGTGTAGGCAGAGAAATATACTCCTTTATAAGAGAGGACAAGAAATTCGGGTCTTGCAACTGATTTGAACTACAGTTTTTAAAGATTGTTTTAAAAAATCCCAATCCTAGATAATGATAATGCTAACTCATCAAAACTTCAGTTGGGCTACTTATAGAATGATTGTAAAATATGAAGTTCTTGTACTAAAACGATCTAAACGTTTTGGAAAGCAAGTCAAACTGTTATTTGAATTTTTTGAATTATTACGAATCTCCCTTATTTTTCTGCTTATTATTCTGCTCCCTCTCATGCACCACTTCATCTTGGAGATGAATTATTCCGCTCTTTGGAAAATTCGCTGTAGTTTTGTTTACACACTCACCCCTACTCTTAAGGGGGCTCTCAAAGAGCTATTACAGGTTTACACGTGCTTGATTTTCTCTGAACACTTGGCAATGAGCTTCCCTGGTGGCGCTGGGGGTGGTCTGTTGTTGAGCTATACAGACCCGTCAGGGTATTGATTGAACCCCTGTGCTATGTTGAATGATATAGGTTTTAGCGAGGCTTCCAGAAAATGAGCTAGAAATTAGCTTCAGTTTCCTTGTCCAAGGACAAGAGACCAATAGGTGTCTCCCTTTGTTTTGCCCACAAAAGACACAGTTAATTCATTTTACATGTCTCGAAGACGTAATGTACTATAGCAACTGCAAGGATTATTAATGTTATGCACAACTTGTCAAATAGTTGCCAACTGCATTTGAGAGATACGGAAGGGTCCCAAAATGTCGTTATCTTCAGGAGAGGAAAGCAAAAAATAGAAAAGAGAAAGGGGAGGTTAGTGATGAGTATTCTCATGACAGGTCAGTCTCGTCTCACATTCACACTTGCTTTACCCCAGTGTCACTTTATCTTCAGCCTACAATGTGAGGTATCCTTCACCTCACTGATCTCTGTACACTTGAAATTAGGAGTCCTCGTCAAACAGTCCCGTACATCTAATACATAATCGATATTCTTATACAATTATAATTTTGAAACAAAACTTTCACTGTGTAACTATAGACTGGCCTTTGAAGGACGATGTATCTCCAGTCTCTCCATTCCAGCATCATCAATTAAAGGGGTCCTTGTAAAGATAAGGTGGTAAGCGTGCGAGTTAAATTGCTTCCCACCCCTCATACACACAGATATACACTATATATATATTGTGTCTATTAAAAGCAAATGAACACATTCTGACCCGAGACATTTCAACAAGACCGGATTGTTTTTCTTAATGTAAAGAGTACGTTCAACATCCATTCTGTTTAATACAATGGGATAAATGTTTTTACTGTCTATCAGATAGGACCCTGGATCACTACTGTGGTGGAAACGTGAAAGTCAATCCGAATAGAGGCATTGATTCTTTCCTAGATTTGACAAATGAATGTTTTATGCGATTATAATAAGTTAACACCTGCTCCAGTTTAGACTCCAGCATTACAGAAATAATGGGGCAGCGATTTCACCGAAGAACTTCCTATCATACAAGTTACTTTAAGGGTTGGCGTTATATCAAGTTATATCCGACATCATTAGTCGATCAGTGTATAATACAATTATATATTTTACAATGGAAGATACTTATTTACATAATACGTGAATATTTCTACATAGTACCGTAAATGCATGTCTGTGTATGTTGCACGTCCCTTTTAAGCACCCAGGGCTACGGTAGACCTTTTGTTGTTTGTGCTGTAGACTTAAATTTAACCTAAAGGTCAGTGTTGGCGAGATAACACAAGACGTCTTCTCTACTTCATCCTATTCAGTACTTCCACTGAGTTTGTAATTTCTTTTTCAAAAAAAGGTCAATTCAAACCAGCCGCTCTTTGATCCCAATTATCAAGGAATATAGATTTTCACTAATTGACAGAATTAAGGAGCAAATATTTGACTTTTTTTAAAAAATCTACAATTTTTAGGCAAATATATTAAAACCAGGGAACCGTTCATCCGAATACTCAGAATAATTAATAACCAGCAATCATCGTACATACGATTTGAACTCTAAGATAATGATAACAATCTCTACTATCTCTACCCATTGAGTAAAGTGACCAAACGAACAGGTTGATGGAAAGGCTGGTACTCAGATGTATTCATCATGAATGTAATCAGAGGTGGAAGAGACAGCAACGCACGATGCCAATAGTTGTCTATAAACGACGAATTAAAAGCAAACTACACTCGCCAGTTCTAAACATTTACCATTTCTTGAGGGAACGCAGGTGGTTTCAAAGCACCGACAGTGCATCGCAAGAGAAGTGTGACAAAATGCGACGGTAGTTTTTAAACTGGGTAAATTTACAATTTAACTGGTATTCATGTGAATAGAGTTCTTTGTATTCAGTTCTGAAAGCAACTCACCCTTGATATGGAACAGAAAGCAATTCTTACACATTATTATTCCTGTAAGAAGGATCGAGAGGCGCCCTTTCCTCCAGTAACACTCAGTAAAGTAAACTTCGAGGTGCTGCTTAGATTTGAAGGCAATGTAAATAACTGACTTCACCTGCATCCACCCAGCCACCCAACAATGATTTTATTCATAATCAGAAGTGATCCAGATCCTTTTAAAATACGGTTCTGGTTTTCCCGAGGTTACCCTTTATATGCTGGCGATCTATAGTTGAACAAGGACTGCACATTTGCACTGCACCCCAGTGGGTGTAAATGAGCGGGTGACATGGGCTGGTAGCTGTCAATGCTGAACCCAACTCTTTACTGGTGGGAGTAAGATGCATTACAAAAGCCGCAGCTGCACAGAGCGAGCTCCGCGCCGGCATTTCCTTCTTAACACGTATTTCTTAGCCCTGCGTCCAGCTGTGTTCCC